GGATGGAGCATTAGTCTAAGAGGAAACTTAGACATAATGAGTCACCTTCCCGTTATAACAACCTGGGGTAACGGAGGTAAACCATCAGACCTCCACATAACCCAGCCCGTAATAGTATGTCGTAAAAAAAACTAAATAAATAAATAAAATAAAGATAAAAAATAAAAGAAAGATAAGTAAAAATAAATGATGTTAAAAAAACAGACAACTCAGAGGCTCGAAATCGCACCAAGGCACCAGCGTTATTACTTCTTATATTCCATCTTACACCATTGATCATGTACATAGTGCCTATAAATTGTCTTTATTATATTTCCTTCATTCTTTCCTTTCACAATATATATTTCAAAAAACTATTTTATTACTATCTTCGCACTTTCTTGTTCATTCACTGTTATTGTACACACCCTAGCTACTTCTATATATCGAAGCTTGCTGTTATCCCACCAACCTTCTAAGGGGGGGATAACCTGTAGTGTACATTGTACCTTCCAACTTTTGTTTGAATGAACTCAGTCTGACCCCAAAACCCAACTTCCACTTTGTATTCCTGAACCTCCTGTACGGTTTCGGTTCCGCTCTCTCGCTGTACTTTCATCCAGTACACTCTCCGAGCTGACCACCGTCTCACCTGCAGATAAGTGTGTACCTCTTATTTCTTATTAAATTCTATCTCATTTGTGTAAATGCAATTCTGTTCCAGTCACACTTGGCATCTCAAGTCTTTTAACCTTGATTCCGTCCGTTAGTACTTGCACGTTAGGCAGAGTACTATTAAGGCCATAAGCGGTGAAGAAGTTTTGTAAGAGTGGTTACTTTTAGGTCGAAGTTAATACTAAGTCTAACTCTTACAGTCGCCTCTGGAGCAATCTACATCTTCTGGCTACTTCGCCCGGCTCATCTCACACTGATCAGTTCTCCAAGGCTGCTAAGCGTCACATTCAACTCCCAGGAGCAGTTGGCCATAGCACTTCAACGGTGTTATGAGACCAGGGGGAAAATGGGAGGACACATCCGATGCTACGAAAGCAGGCCTAGAACCATAAGGAGGCAGTAAACCGAGGCTTTAATACGTCCCCAAGCCTCAGTGACACTAGAGCGATGCAGTTCTGAGAATAACGGTCTGTGTCATCTAAGTGTCTTACCTGAATCCATGGAAAAAACACAGCTGGCCTGTTTCATTGTAAATGCGAAGTCATTATCTCAATACTTCCCGATATGGTCCATTGAATCACTAGTTATCAAATTTTTTCCCACAAACTAAAGATAAAACGACAGCAATCACGTAATTTAACCGTAAATCATGTAATTTAAATAATATTTATCCATTCCTATACAATTGGTGTGGCCTACATAGGTAGGAAAAATCTGTAGCTTATTATATTATCTTTAATAGGTGTGCTTACTAATTGTGTGTAATATATCAAATTGATGATGCCTGTAAACTGGCGTCCCTCATGTACAAAAATGAGAATATATTATTGTTATTACTGTTATCAGAATCAGCCAACATTAAGTCCCCTACCAGCAGACAGCTTAACGTCAACTACCCCACAACACGCTGAGGTTATGAAACTCAATGTCAGCTGCCTATAAGGCAATAAGAGAGGACGGAGAGGAAGAGTAGGCGAACTCAGAAATCTCCAGTCACACCTACATTTTAAAATGATCATTCTCGCTGAAACCTGGCTAACCCCAACTATCGCCGACAACGAAATCAGTATAGGTGATATGGTTCAGGTCAGGAGAGACAGGGATAATAAGTAAGGAGAGGGAGTTGCTACGTACTTTGACAAGCATCTAAAATGTGACCGCGCAAAAGACCCACCACTTATTGAACTCCCAGACTCCATATGGTGTCATTTCACCTCAGGCCGCACCAAGCATTTACCGGGTGGCATCTGCCGATCACCCAGCTGTGTGGCGGAGCACAACCAGCCTCTGCTCAGCACCATCACAGAGGATACGGGACTTGGGCTATGACCAAATCGTCATAGCTGCAGATTTCAATGCCCCATCACTAAACCTTGGCTCGGGATATGCTAGGAGAAAATTCGGCCGAAATCTACTGCAAAATATTCGAAACACGGGACTGACTGAGAATGTTGGGGACGACACTAGGTGGGGCCCTAGTGGAAAGTCATCGAGGCTAGACTACATTCTAACTAGTGACCAACTACTTGTCGAAAAGGTCCAGATCATGACTCCTCTAGGAAGTAGTGACCATGCAGTCATAGGTTTCGATCTCCTTCTCCGTGATCATTTGCAGTGGGACCATGTCTGTGTTGTAGCAAGGCTGACTATGCTGAAATTCGGAGGCTCTTGTCCGACGCAGAATGGCTCTTAGCATGGGATGAGCTATCGGCGGATGAACACTGAGAGGTGGTAAAAAGGATTATTCATACATTTATCTCGGATATGTCCCTTTAGTCACAACACAGCCCAAAAGAAAGTCATCATGGTTAGAGAAAAGCACGCAACGTATCCTGCAAGCAAGTCGGAAATCTTGGTTTACGTGGCGCGTATCTAAGAGTCAGATCGATCACGATGCATACATGGAACTCAGGAAGCGGTGAAACGTGAGAGTCACCAGTAACAGGAGGTCATTTCAGGCTAACCCTGCTAAAATACTCCCACCAAACCACAAAAACTTGTATCGATTCATGTCGGAAAGGAAATCAACCAACCAGGGGCATGCGCCTTAGTAGGTCCAGACGGTCAATATCTCACTAGTCTGGAGATGGCTGAAGCATTCAGTTTACCCTTCATCAAACAGCTAAACAGCAATGTGGGTATTACCGTTACGGACCAAAATGGTGGAATCATTATTTCACCAGAGGAAAACCTGGTGTCTAGTACTAAGGAAGCTGCAGCGACTCACACCTGGGAAGTCCCCAGGCTGTGACGACATCAGGCCATCTTTTCTGAAAAAGTTCACCAAAGCTCTTGTAGGCCCTTATGCGACTTGTTCCAACACTCTATGGATCCGGGGAAACTGCCAAGGGAGTGGAAAAGAGCCATCCTTTCTCCGATCTTCGAGGGTGGGGATAAGAAAAATGCCACTAGTTATAGACCAGTGGCTCTACTCCCAGCGGTATCAAAAGTACTGGAAAGTATTATTGATGAACACATCAGGGAGCACCTTGAGAGGGCTCATAGACTCCATGAATCCCCACACGGTTTCAGGAAAGGCAGATCCTGTGTAACAAACCTACCATCAGCTTGGGACGATTGAACGTCATGCCGGGATGTGAATGCTCCAGTACACGTGGTCTTCCTAGACTTTGAGAAGACATTTGACACAGTTCACCATGACCATATCCTACACAAAATAAGTCAGGCAGGTATAGGCAAGCCACTTGTGTTATGGTTAAAGGACTACCTAGCTGAAAGGCAATATTGCACTAAGGTCAACCGAGTCCAATCATCTTGACACAGCTCGTCATCAGGAGTGTCGCAGGGTTCTATCCTGGGACCACTGATGTTTTTGATTTTTATCAATGACCTACCATGCGTCTAAGTTGCCCGACTCTTCTATACGTTGACGACGTAAAGATATGGAGGGCGATAAATTTTCCGGAGAACTCAGATAGGCTGCAGGCAGATCTAAAGCTTCTGGAAGACTGGGCGGTGGCCAGTGGTGTGACTTTCAACCTGAAAAAGTGCAAAGTAGTGAAGTTAAACACCTGAAGACTGCAGAATGCAAGTTACACCCTGTGTAAAGAAGGCTTGTCCCGCACAACGTTGGAGCGCGACTGAGGTCTGGTTCTAGCGGAAAAAATGGGCACAAGCGTAAATTACACGGAGGGTGTGGCTAGGGCATATGCGGTCATACACTTTACACATAGACAGTTAGGTACACTCACTCCTGAGCTCTTTCCAAGGTTGTACAAAACATACGTCAGACCACATCTTGAAGTGCATAATATTATTGCACTACACTGCTTAGAAGAGACACCAACCTCTTGGAAAGAGTCCAATGACGGACAACAAAAGGAGTGGTTGGTCTCCGAAATAAACCATATGATGAAAGGCCAAAGAAATTAGGCCTATTCACACTTAGCTACTGTCGTCTTAGGGGGATTTGATTACTGCCTACCAAATAATAAATGATCAGAATCACACAAACAAAGGTGTTGTGCCGTTGAGTGGGTATAGGCTTCTTCGTGGAAATCCCAGGAGGATAGCTCACCAGAGAGCGAGGCCCCCGGTGCGCCCCCGCTTCATTTCGCTGTGAGTTTGCCGTCCCTGAAATTCCTAACGGGCAGACGTAGCTATGGCACCGTCTGTGGACGTCTTTAAGCGAAGGCTAAACAATCATGCAGCGACACAAGGACTGCGTCCGAATGGCTTATCCCCTTAAAATCCTATACATCATTCAGGGGTAGACAACTAAGTTCGTTGTTTTACTTCTTTCCATTCTCTCCCGTCTTACTTTCCTGACAACTCTAACTACACTTATTATTATTACCGATAAATATTTCAGCTTCAAATTTAATCAGCTGTCTGTTTTACGTTTTCTTTATTTCTTTTTCTGTCTGTTAGTCTGAATAACTTCACTAATTATATCTATTATTATTATTATCTGTATTCTTTTGACGAAGATACCGGAGGAATAACTGGTGAAAGGATCAACTCCATTCACAGTAGTAACAGTCTTAACACACCTCATACCACAAAAAACATATAATTAATCCCTGCACTACTCCTTTTGGAGTCAACCAAAGCTACGACAGTCGAGTGGCGGGACGAGCTAGGCAGAAGTTTACCGAAGATCAGGAACCCATACCTCACAATCATGAGGCGAGCACAAAGAAATCAAATTGGTTTATACTAGCCCGTAAAAGCGATATTTGATATTGAAAACACAAGGAGAAACTTTTGGAGTTGAAAAATTTGATATTTGGCATTGAAAGCTGAACAAGCGTATTGTTTTGGTTTTTCAAATCTCGTTGTTTGAATTCGGCTACTTACAAATAGGTCATTCATTTATCGCGATCATGGCCCACGAGTCTGTGCTGGTTGTCGGAGGACGTATTGATGAAAATTCTAGCCAAGAAAAGTTGTCGAAGTTCCTTTATGATGGTATGTGATTTGAATTCTTGATGTGATTATAAAAATTAAAGTTCTGCATATATTTGTACGTAGTTTTCTTTTGAGTGATATTAACACTCAGAAATATGTCATCATCATAATCTTGAATATAGTGTGAAAAGCATTCGGCTATTTCTGGTAGACAAAATAGTGCCTTACTGATGCATTTCACGTCTAAACGTGTGTAGCAGACACGTACGTGTTGATATTATAGCATCTCACGAAGATGTTGAATATTGGTATCAGAAGTGTTCTCAGTCTGGACAATTGGAATTATGACTCTGTAGGAGTGCAACTTTATATGATTTAATGTCCATTTCTGCACTTCTTACGCTGAAATTGATTGATGTATCCTGTTTTTCGTCCGAAATGTAAACTCAATAACACGGTTGGTTTTAAGTTCTATGAGTGATGCACTGACTCGCTGTGTAATCACCTCAGTGCTTGCAACGATGTCACAGCTATGAAATGAATAGCTTTGTAAAAAGCAGACGGAATCCAAAGAGCATATCAAGATAAGTTAATCAATACGATTGGCCTCTGCTACTAAATGTTTGTTTATCAATGTCATCCGTCCTTTCCAAAGGTTAGCTGAGTCTCTATTACAATAAAGATTCTGGTTTTATCCATTTGAAACTGCTTATATTCCATTGTATTACACAAAACAGTATGTAGGAAATTCCCTTGGTAATATGTCAAGGTTATGACGTACGTTTTACCGGTATACTGGTATGTAGTATGATGCGTAATTGGTGAACATGACTTCCTTGGAATCGACACATGTGCACGTTGAAGTTGGTAAAGCGTCTCTTCGTCTTAACTACTGGACTTCTGGCTAGTAGGCCCTGGCATGCACTTCAGTCTATGAAATGCGATAGAATCATTAGTCGTGGCTTAATAAGTGCAGCTCATATCCTATTAGGTGAAAAGTTTAATGTTCCTCTTACTAAGATCATAGTTACTATATATTGCTTAATTGTATTAACTCAGTAAATGCAGTAAACATTAATTGTAAATACTGAAATAATGAATGTTTTAGCTCCTATAAAATAGCATTTATAAATGCCCATCTTACGTTCAAACCATCAAGACAGGTTGTAAAGTAATGTCAGTATTTGAAGAAGGATCAAAGTAAATTGACTAGTTGTATTATGACGTTAATCATGTTAACATTGAATCCAAAGAGACATGGTAGTAGTTAAACATCCGTACTATAGCTTTTACATCTTCAACTATAATGTAAACTCACTGAATGCTTTTCACAATTATTTTAATTGACTTCCACATTACTACTACTACTACTACTACTATGAGAAGTACTTTGCTTCCTCATCAAATGGACATGTTTAACAGGGATTTTACTGATAATGGTGACTTGACTAACACCCCTCAGCAAGCCTGATTATGAAGGGTAGAACCATGCTTCCTCTAGGCATTTAGACGAAACTGTGATGATATATTGTGTAAAACTGGAGTGTTGATCATTACTCCAAATGGATGATCGTAAAACTTTGTTTGTCAAGGCCTCAGTTCAACCTATTATAATTTAAAACATTACGTGGGGAACAGAGAAAAGATACTGGTTAAAGCTCCTATAAATAGACAAGAGTGTGAATGCAATGGACCAATGAGGATTACTGCCAGTCTTCACAGTTTTTGGGAATACAAAGATCAAACGCATCTACTGCAGTGTAAACAACCGCAAGACGTATTGCCAAGTCTCTTACGGTTGATTCTCAACATCGTCAAAACCCGATCGAGGCAATATTTTCTTGATTGTGTATTGGACAGAACTACATTCAGAAGCCTCACAGGTTGTCGCTACATCTTGGTGTATAGACTTCACGCCATTCTGTCTGCATACCCTAGCAATACTTATGGGAAGATGATAACTCATGTCCCATTCATTTCAGTTGGTAGGCATTTACAATTTACTGCCAGTCTGCTCTTCGTTAACCGTCGCCAGCTTTGTAAGATATATCGTCTTTGTGACATTTCTCGAGGACCTTTAGATCTATATTCTTGGTAATTCTTACTTTCAGCCTTTAAGAATTTTCTTCCAACGGTGTTTATTATATGAGTTAGAACTAGTTTTTCCATGTTTAAATTTGTTAAACAGTACCATTTCATACAGGCTGAAATAATCCCTTTCACTCACTTGGTTCTCTTTTGTGTTTTTACCCTTTATAGGATTGGTGGCTGCATTTGGAGGTAATCTTGACAGTTTGGATCCATTGTTTCTGGAGTGTTTAACGAAACCTGTAAAGCCTACGGATACTAAGGAATGTAAGTCATACGTGCTAGCATGCCTCATACAAAAGATAATCTACTGACGTAAAATGTTGCTTTATGTTTATAATGAAACTTTATCTAGCTTCTCAATTCCCTTAAGATGTTTTATATGAAAAGATATTCTATGATACCATTTGTTAAAACAAAGAACCAGATAGCCTTAAAAAGTGTTTTTATGTTTTCGATGAACAGACGAAGATTTGTTTAAAATTTTTTTTATTTCTCGTTGTTTGATTTTTTATTAAATTGGCTGCCAATGTGGACGCTTCAGCAATATCTCAAAGTTAACATGGTATCGCTCGTTTGCAGGCGGTTAGCAGTGGAATCTGGGATGTACATTTTGACTTATTTGATACTCGCCAACTGGATGAACTTGCATCTTAGGGAGTGATGATGTTCCCGAAAGCCTAGCATCTGTTTTCAGACGCTAAGGTGTTATCCAGTGAACCACAGGACCTGAACATCTTAAGCAATGAACCGAAAGTTTCGGTCTCATAAAAGTTAATCAGTAAGGAATACAAAATAGTTTCAGGGGTACGGATTGCACAGTAGATTAACTAGTGGGTAACGCTTGGTTTGGTTCGATTGCCGGTGAGAGCACTTTCACTTACTGGTATGCAAGTCCATTCAGATGTTAAATCTCAAATAGTATGGATTACACTACTAAGATTTCAGTCATATTTTGTTTAGCCTGACGTCTCTGTATACCAGTTCACCCTTTTTTTCTTCCTATCGTACTATTATGGTTTATATTTTTGGTCATTTTATTGGTCTGTCTAGGGATGTAATAGTTGGGAATACTGCACCATTGATTAGTAACCAGTGTGAGGTTTATCAGTAAATTTTAAAATGTATTCATTAAAGCTGATAATACTTCATACTCGAATATTAAACCCCATTATAACGTCACTTATGTGCGTCGGTGGCATAGCGGTAGAATGCTCGCCAACCACACCTCATGTGGTCCGGGGTTCGATCCCCGGCCACTAACGCACTCCTTTACCCCGCTAAGCCAGTAACAAGACTGGTAAAAAGCGAAGGTTGGGCATGAGGCTAGCAACCCCACTGCTACCGAAACTTCAAGCTTCTAGCAGGAAGGCGCCCTATGTTCCACTGGGAACGTAAAGGAATACCAACAAATAGTAATAATAATGTCACTTAGTCAACCAAATTCTATCAGTACCTTTCATGTAGGTGAGAAAAGCCTTTACTTCAGGGCTGTTAGTCATAATCTAAGTCGCTTAGTAGTGAATTTTATGCCTTCAAGACTTAATGTTACAGGTTGGAAACCTGGGTTAAGTAGGAAAGGTTAACATCTAATACCAATACACTACTGTTTCATGTCTGTCTCTCTTTGGATTCAACATAGAACTTGGCACCGAAGTGCAGCAGTTCGAGTTGACACGTTCCAAATACCACACAAAGGTAGACAAGAAGATGAGTGGAGAGAATCAATAGAGTTTTGACAAGTATAAGAGTGAAACAGAATGAGTAATGGTAGAAAGGAATATGAAAGATTACAGAGACTGAATACATCTGCGTAAGCCATTGACAACGATTTTGAGCCATGCCACCTATTGTCTCCAGCCATTGATTCTTAGAGTCCCGAGGGCGGGCCCCAACCCGGAAGTCTGCATCTCCCTCCCTCCCTGACTCAATTTAACGGTCAAGGATTTCATGGATTGATGAGGCCATGTTTTTGTTTGGCCACCACTTACTCTTTTCCAACCTGTACTGTCGCATGTTCTATGTACGTCCTTTTTATTTAGTTCATTAATGATTGTTCATTGACTATCGAATTTTAACAGTCTACAATTTGTTCAACTTAGCCTTACTTATTCTTATATGATCATTAGTAATTGCATAGACAAAAAAATCACTAGTTTTAAAGAAAAAAATTAGTTAGACTACACATTTTTCTTGTTTGGTTTCTACAAACAACATCACTCGTAAGATATTTTTGTAATCATTGAAAAAAATGTGGCATTGTAAATTTTTAATTAGTTTGATATCCTGCAGTCTTTTTTTCTGCTTCTTCTCCTACTAATTGCTTATACGTGCTTTTACACGAATAATGATTTCTATTAGAAACTATGTCGTTTAAGAAGAAAACTAATTTCTGTTTGTTGGTAGGCTGTCTGTAGTACCTTTGTTTAGTTGATTCTGCGATCACGTAAGACTACATGTATGGTTTACTGGCAAATAAGTCCAGGGTTCCGAATCCCATTCCGCCTAATTCAGTCTTGACAGTTGGGTAATGCCTGCATGCTTCACGCAAAATGTTGTTTACCTCATATTATTATTATCACTGTTAGTATTGTTCCGAGTGGATTATAGAGTTTCAGTAGCACATCTTCACTTTTGCCAATTGTCTGTGGTCTTCTTCATCTGGCCCCGTAATCTCTCATATCCTCGTCACACAATCTTCTCCATGTCACTCGCGGACCAACCCACAATTAGTCGTTTTCCATTCGAGTTCCACTGTGGCTCTAGCCTGCCACGTAATGCCACTCGATGGTCTCCTGACTGACTGGTTTCAACGTATAACTTTGCACCGATGTCCAGCAGTTCGAGTCGTCACACTCCTCGTAGCACACAAAGCAAGAGAAGAGAATAAAGAGAGATAAACAGAAGTATGAGGAAAAAAGAATAGTAATATTGAGGTACCATATATTTTTTACTGGATATTATAAGTCACAAGGAGTGGATGCATCTGCGCCATCACTGAGAACAATGAGTTTGAGCCATATCACCAATTGTCTCCATCCTTCATTGGTTTTTACCGCCTCGAGGACTCCAACCAGGAAAATTAACGTCTGCGTTAAAATCTGACGGCTATGATTTATGTTTTTTTTACAACTCAGGTCATTATCGTAGAAAATCTCATCAGGAATATTAAAGAGGAAAGAACAAAAAGTTCAGCAAACATATCTTCTGTCTTTTCGGCGATTTTATTTTCTTTAGCTGTACAATCACATTTACATACATAAGTTTACAAAGAGACAATTATTATTATTTAATTCCGCATTATAACGAAAGAGTTTAAAGGTGGTAATACTTTTCGTTATAATGCGGAATTAAATAATAATAACTTTATCTATGTAAACTTATGTATATAAATACGATGGTACAGCTTTTGAGAATGAAATCGCTAAAAAGACAAACATCTTTGCTGAACTTCTTGTTCTTCTCTCTCAAGTCATTATCTCATCGAGGTAAACGAATATGTTAGATATTCTTACAGCTGAGAGTATAGTTTATTGACTGAAGAACTTAACTTTGTAGTCACCAGTTTCACTATTCCAGCCCTTTTTTATCCATCTCATCACTCAGATAGCATGTAGACACCTCACGTTATCTATCCAGCATGCTTCTTACTATCGTCTGTGTTGAAGCCTCTCGAATAGTTAGATTTATCATTACTATGATTTATTAAAAGCACTTATTATTTGACAAAGTAAAGTTCCTTATCCATTAATGATGAGATTGACTAAAATGGCTTTTAATTGGTTATACTGTTAGAGTAATTTCAGTGATCGATGATGATTGAAGGTGTAGTGAAGAATATCTGGATCTCTTTAGGATCCGAATCACCAGGTGGTCATTACCCGAAGTGATTTCAGTGAATTGATGAACTGATTGGCTGACTAACTGACTGACTGAATTTCAATATATAGAACGTTGCACAAAAGTGGGGCAGTTGAATTTGTCACATTCTATGTAGTGCATCTGTACCTCTCTATGATCAGTTTTTAGCCATGTCAGCACCAGTGTTGTCAAGCCATTGATTGTTAGCATCTTGAGGTCCTCAACCAAACAGCCTACATCTCCCTAGATGGCTGGCCTAAGCCTAAGCCCCATTTTGTTGAGGGAAAGACAGTAGCTCAGTATATGTAACTCGTGTCCTCCTAGCCATCTCAACTGCTGTAGCCTCAAAGCCTTATTGGTTACCTATCTGTCTAGCAGTTCAATCTCACTGCCTAGTTGGTAGAGCACCAGACTGACTAGTTAACTCGGCGACTGCTGGTTCACAGTTTGACACAACACGGATTTTCACCTCACCTTCAATCATCATCATCATCACGGACTAGTCTCTATAGAGATTCCTCTCTATTCTTCTTTATTTTCTTCTTAGACAATATTTCTTGAAGTTTATATTTCTTTTGTTTTGACAGTAGATTTCTTTGCTTTCCTCTGTCTATATAATATATATTCAATTTATTTTAATTTCCTCTTCACATATTTTTACATAAATATATACATAGAGAGAGATAGAGAGAGAATGTATGTATGAATGCGTCATGCTATTTAGTGCTTCATTGAACAAATAATTCGTACATAATTCATTTTATTTATTTATTTATTTATACATATATACATGCATACAAAGTCAACATTAAATACAGAATATTTTTTGGAAGGGAAGAAACGGGTAAATATTTCTATTCCTGCGTCCCCCCCCCTTCTTCGCCCGCCACCGAATTCCCTAACTTAATCAGGCCACCACACTGTCTACTGTAATTATGCTGAGTATGCCTTCTCTTATTATCTGCATGTTGTTGTTGTTGGTGGTGGTGGTCGGGCGAGCGAGCGAGTGAGCGTGTGTATATGCATTCATAGACATTTTCTGAGTCATTTCCACTAAAGTATTTCAACAGATGATGCATAATTCAATTCTTTGATTATTTATTCTTTTTTTGACAAATTTCGAGTCAAATCATTTACATTCTTGTATGTTAGGCAGGGGGAGGGGTAATGTATGGCTTTGTGTGTGTGTGTGTGTGTGCGAGTGTGAGTGAGTTGAGTGAGTAAGTGACCGTCCGTCGTTGATGATGATGCTGGTGTATCCATTTATCATCATTTCATGCAAAACTCTACTTCCTGACGGTAAAATAACAAATAACAAACAAAAATAGAGCCATATTTTCTCCAGTAAGTTGAAAGCACCAGTTATTCTATATATTCTCTTCTAGTCAATATTCATATATAAAGAG